TGGGGACGATTTTAGCACTTTACTTTTTATCAATATTGCCTTACTCTTCACCCTGAACATGTGTTATTTTTATAAGATGATAGCAGTAACCCTGGGTACTCTCCTGGCGGGGGGACACCTTCATCACCAAGGTGGTTTTCGCAGGGCGGGGCTGGCCCATTGCACTACGGATGTGCTGACCCCTGCGACTTCCTCAAATGGGGGAAACCCGACGGAATAATTTGTGGGAGTGGGTGACTGCACTGGCGTTCACCCCTGAAAAAATATAATAATAAAGCTGTCTTTGGCATGAAAGTCCCTGACAAGGCACTTCTCAAGGCATTCTTGGTGACCTGCCTAGGGCTTGTTTGTCCCTAATGACCTGCTGGCAGCGGCCCTGAGCGGACCTAGGGGCACTTGCGAGTTGGCAGGGCTGTGCTGGGCAGAGGCAGTCCTGCTAGGACCTGGCTGAGGGAAGCACGGGCGAGGCTTGGGGCGCTGGCGGCCCAAGTGCTAGGAACAGCCCTGGGGCCAGACGGGGCGAAGAGGGGTCAGCAGTGCGGGGCGGCCCGGGAGGGGTCCGGAGTCTGCGCAGAGGGGCTGGGGGCAAAAGCCAAGTTCAAAGCCCACTGAGCCCACAGCTGGGGTTGCAGGGCTCCCCGTGCGGGCGTGGGAGTGGCTCCGAGGTGGAGCGCTGCAGCGCACACTCAGGTGCACGCACACACACACACACGCACACATGCACGCTCGCACCCAGGGCGGGCTGAGGACTTGCTCTATTTTTAATCAAGTCCAGGACCAGGGAGTTAGCTCAGCACCAGCTTAGGCAAGGTTAGGCAGGTTCAGGGGATCCCAGTTCGATCCCCGGCACCGCATGCAGTGCCAGCCCTGTCCTTCAGGCGGGCTGAGCTGGCCCCTTGCCAACAAAATCAAGTCCAAGTGAAGATAATAGAAGCAAGGGGCTGAGCTGGCCCCCTGCCAACAAAATCAAGTCCAAGTGAAGATAATAGAATCAAGGGCCGGGGAGATGGCTCAGCAGAATAAGCGCTTCCCGGGCAAGCACAAGAGCCTGAGTTCAATCCCCGGTTCCACCAAAAAACAAATCGAAAAACTGTCTCCCCAAGTGATACTGAAATTCTCAAGTCCCTCTGAGGACTTGGGGAAATTCCTAGAAGTCTAATGATACCTTTCCAGCCTTTTTTTTTTTTTTTTTTT